GTATATGTACTGTATATGTACTGTATATATATTAGGGCTGTGCGGTATATGCGGTAGAAATGGTATGACGTTGACCAACGGTAGAAATTTACCCTCTACCGTCCTGTCGTCAGTTACATCATCGCACCTGTGTCAACATGTCTGCGAGTGTAGAGGCAACCGAGCGGGAGTTCGAAATATAATGAATAAATTATAGCATTTTAAAACATGTATAGAGAGAATAAACCCTCAAAATCCCCCCGTCCCTCAGTAGAAAAGTTACATCGTGTGGCGGGATCATTTCCTCCCTCCCTCCCGCTGCACGTCACGCAGAGCGAAGCTTTAGCACCCSTAGTTTTTTCACACACAATTGTCCGAGAAATAAAACTTGTTTTTTTATGTATTGCTACCCACAGAGATGATTTTAAAAAAAAGATGTGGACGTTCATTCAGTCACAAATCCTTCTTGCTAATGTTAAGTCAGCTTCTGCTCTGATGATGAAGATGAGCGCGAAACAGAGCAGCAGCTGACAAGTTCAGCAGGCAGAAGCTCATTGCATGGCAGGAAGATAAAGCAAAAATACTGGGTTTGATTAAAATGACAGTTTTCTGCAAAAAACAAATGACTAATAATGACATTATCTTTACTTTTTATGATAATTTTCTTCTGCGATATATACTGTACCGTTACCATGAAGGGATTTAATTTATACCGTTGTATGAATTTGAGATCATACCGCCCATAAATGGTCATCAGTACAACTCAGAACTTAATTTCTAAACTAAATATGAGAATCTTTCACTGAACGACATGGAAAGTGCTTCAAGTGTAGGAGGTGAAAGACCATGCAAAATTTGAACGACCAGACAAAGATTTGAAAACAAGATCATGCTATCCTAATTTCCAGTTACAGGCCTTGTGCATTTGCATGTTATCTAAATATTTGGTTTCAGCAAAACCTTTAGATTTCTTATTCAGCATTTTGCTTTCTTAACATTTTGATTCAGCTATTTAAATGTGCTAAAATGGGACTTTAGAAAATCCACACTCAAACATTGAAGTTAAATACAGCAAACTTCAGCTGTATTTTATTTATTTATTTATTTATTTATTTATTATTTAGTATGAGCTGCTTTGCAAGTGGCACAATATACTATCATTGCATTGGGGGTCATAACCTACTCAGTCAAGCCAAACAAACAAGTATTTGTATTCAGAAAAGAAATTGCAGAAATTTGAGTGATTTTACAAAACTTGTAACAAAAAACATGGCATGTTTTGTGTTTGTTGCCAGTATTTCTATTGGACATTCAGTTCCAGTCATTGCCCTGCTTTGACCCACCATAAACAAACATCTTGCTTGAATCTTTCCTCTTAGAGAGTTACATTCTGTTCTGTACGTTTTTCCTTTTTGTCCATTTCTTCATTGCCATTGATTCCCTGGAGTTTGCTTCTCTGTTGTGTTTGCCGGTTTACCTGCTGCCTCAGGGGCCAGACTTTCTTTTATTTTATTCTAGTTAATGACAGCTTGCATGAGGCAAGAGCAGAGAGAGAAGCCCGAACGAGAGATAAAGGCCAGACGCAAACAATCTCCCTGCCTGCTGTCAGATAATGACAAGCATAACGAGGATCCTCTCAGGTTGTCGCTTCCATTATGAGCATTCTCCTTTTGGGATTTGCCACCATGCTCACTGTGCTTGACATTCACATTTGTTCACAAAAGAATATGAAGAGAAAAAAAAGGCACACACATACCCCAGCTGGACCCTTAGCAACAAAAGCCTGGCAGACAAACAAGTGGCACAGCTGTAACACTGGAAGCAGTTTCAGTGCAGACACAAAAGTTAGCACTTTGTAGTCCGTAAAGGTCTAATTAAAGCTGGTATGCAAGTGAACTTTACTGTGACACATAGATGCCAAACCATGAATCATCAAGCCCTGCTTAATTAGTGAGGGATGGGATTTTTAAGGTTAGTGCAGGGGTTCGCAACACTCTGACAATGAGTGTCATCTTTGTTTTCTTTGCGGTGAAACAGCAAACTGTTGCTTTATTTGTTCAGCAATTTGAATGGTAATTACTGCCAGTTTTTCCTTGACGCCTGTTTTGCCTTAGCTTTGAAAAGAATTTATGAAAATAAATATAAACCAATCCAGTTTTTTTCTGGTTATTGATTTGTTTTTGTTTTTTTCTGACTGTGCTCTTCATATTAATTTTGTGACCTTGTCTGTGTTTTATCAACAGGACCCTACAAATGGCTATTACAGTGTCAATACCTTCAAGGAGCATCACACGCCAACAATGACAGGCAATCAAACTACTGAAGCGAGGAACCCCACCAACACAGGTACCCTTGGCAAGCAGAGGGTACCAACAGGCATGTCCTTCACCAACATTTATTCCACTTTGGGAGCCGGCCCCAACCGACTGTACGACTACAGCCAACGCTTTGTGCTGGGCATGGGCAGCAGCTCCATTGAGCTGTGCGAGCGGGAGTTCCAGCGTGGCTCGCTCAGCGACTCCAGCTCATTCATTGACACGCAGTGCGACAGCAGCATCAGCAGCTACAGTAAGCCGGACGGCTACGTGCAGTTTGACAAAGACAGCAAGGCGTCAGCCTCTTCCTCGTCCCACTATTCCCAGTCCTCCTCGCAGAACTCTGACCTCACGCGGCCCCTCCAGAAGCGCATGCAGACCCACGTCTGACCTCTACAGAGGGCGCGGGTGTTTGGATGGGAGCGTAACAAGCAGCTAGGATTGTAAAACTTTTTATAGAATCAGCCAACGAGAAGTCCTAGAGGATCAGTGTTACTGAGTGTTTTTTTTATGGATGCCCCACCAGGCTGGGACTACTGTGCTTAATGCACCATGTAACTTGCTTAAACTTCTCAATGTCCCAAAAAAAAAAANAATGGGACTTTAGAAAATCCACACTCAAACATTGAAGTTAAATACAGCAAACTTCAGCTGTATTTTATTTATTTATTTATTTATTTATTTATTATTTAGTATGAGCTGCTTTGCAAGTGGCACAATATACTATCATTGCATTGGGGGTCATAACCTACTCAGTCAAGCCAAACAAACAAGTATTTGTATTCAGAAAAGAAATTGCAGAAATTTGAGTGATTTTACAAAACTTGTAACAAAAAACATGGCATGTTTTGTGTTTGTTGCCAGTATTTCTATTGGACATTCAGTTCCAGTCATTGCCCTGCTTTGACCCACCATAAACAAACATCTTGCTTGAATCTTTCCTCTTAGAGAGTTACATTCTGTTCTGTACGTTTTTCCTTTTTGTCCATTTCTTCATTGCCATTGATTCCCTGGAGTTTGCTTCTCTGTTGTGTTTGCCGGTTTACCTGCTGCCTCAGGGGCCAGACTTTCTTTTATTTTATTCTAGTTAATGACAGCTTGCATGAGGCAAGAGCAGAGAGAGAAGCCCGAACGAGAGATAAAGGCCAGACGCAAACAATCTCCCTGCCTGCTGTCAGATAATGACAAGCATAACGAGGATCCTCTCAGGTTGTCGCTTCCATTATGAGCATTCTCCTTTTGGGATTTGCCACCATGCTCACTGTGCTTGACATTCACATTTGTTCACAAAAGAATATGAAGAGAAAAAAAAGGCACACACATACCCCAGCTGGACCCTTAGCAACAAAAGCCTGGCAGACAAACAAGTGGCACAGCTGTAACACTGGAAGCAGTTTCAGTGCAGACACAAAAGTTAGCACTTTGTAGTCCGTAAAGGTCTAATTAAAGCTGGTATGCAAGTGAACTTTACTGTGACACATAGATGCCAAACCATGAATCATCAAGCCCTGCTTAATTAGTGAGGGATGGGATTTTTAAGGTTAGTGCAGGGGTTCGCAACACTCTGACAATGAGTGTCATCTTTGTTTTCTTTGCGGTGAAACAGCAAACTGTTGCTTTATTTGTTCAGCAATTTGAATGGTAATTACTGCCAGTTTTTCCTTGACGCCTGTTTTGCCTTAGCTTTGAAAAGAATTTATGAAAATAAATATAAACCAATCCAGTTTTTTTCTGGTTATTGATTTGTTTTTGTTTTTTTCTGACTGTGCTCTTCATATTAATTTTGTGACCTTGTCTGTGTTTTATCAACAGGACCCTACAAATGGCTATTACAGTGTCAATACCTTCAAGGAGCATCACACGCCAACAATGACAGGCAATCAAACTACTGAAGCGAGGAACCCCACCAACACAGGTACCCTTGGCAAGCAGAGGGTACCAACAGGCATGTCCTTCACCAACATTTATTCCACTTTGGGAGCCGGCCCCAACCGACTGTACGACTACAGCCAACGCTTTGTGCTGGGCATGGGCAGCAGCTCCATTGAGCTGTGCGAGCGGGAGTTCCAGCGTGGCTCGCTCAGCGACTCCAGCTCATTCATTGACACGCAGTGCGACAGCAGCATCAGCAGCTACAGTAAGCCGGACGGCTACGTGCAGTTTGACAAAGACAGCAAGGCGTCAGCCTCTTCCTCGTCCCACTATTCCCAGTCCTCCTCGCAGAACTCTGACCTCACGCGGCCCCTCCAGAAGCGCATGCAGACCCACGTCTGACCTCTACAGAGGGCGCGGGTGTTTGGATGGGAGCGTAACAAGCAGCTAGGATTGTAAAACTTTTTATAGAATCAGCCAACGAGAAGTCCTAGAGGATCAGTGTTACTGAGTGTTTTTTTTATGGATGCCCCACCAGGCTGGGACTACTGTGCTTAATGCACCATGTAACTTGCTTAAACTTCTCAATGTCCCAAAAAAAAAAAAAGATTCAAGAAGCCTTATATTTCCTTCATGCTTAATTCATTAACTCCCTCTTTTTTTCTCACCTATAATGCTAATGTGCCACAGAGAGGTTATTTGCCAACAAAGACACTACACGGGTTTGAATTTTGAACTTTAAATACTTGGTTTCTGCAGCTGAATTGTTCACGGATCTGAGGGCAGGAARACTAGGCTTTGTATGACAATCATCTCCCCTGGCATGGACCAAATTTGCCTTTTGAAGATTGTCATGCAGAAAAAAGCGAGATTGCGGCAAAGCACTCAGCACAAATTGCCTGATAATAAGTGCAAGCCAGTGTCCTGCTGCTCTCTTGTGGTTCGAAGCACAACAAAGAATGTGCATGCCATTATCTCTTTGTTAAAAGCGATAACTTTTCAACACTTCCACCTTCCCTTGAAATACTATGTTTTTTTTCTGCTTTTTTTAAGCTTGGCTTGTTGAAGCCCATCCCTTGCTGTGTAGGTGGATGGAAACTTTCTCTGTGTGCCCACATATGTCTCAAACACTAAAAAGAAATGTTTTTTTTTTCTTTGTTGATCCCTCATTCTCTACCACTTTATAGGAGCCACAGAGCTGAGCAGATAAAGAGGAGCTGAGATGTCATTTTAAATTCCTGAGTCATTGTTTCACTTTGACACTTTGCGATAAAAACAATATCAGTGTACATATGTGACTAGTTTTATTATTATTATTTTTCCCTAGCGTCTAATTTTTGACTCTGACTTTCCACATGGATGATTCTGGATAATACACGAGAGCCTCTTCACGCCTGTATCTACTTTGCCTTGAGGTTCTGTTTAAAGTGGGTCAAAACAAACTTGGACTAAATGAGACTATAAAAGTTTTTTTTTTTTTTTTTTTTTTTTTTTTTTTTTTTT